TAAATTTGGGAATTGGTGTAAAGGTTTCCTGAGTCAATTTCATTTGACTATGCTATCTGTCTGATTTTGAATCTCTCTACATTTTCATCTCCTTAAATTTGACAGTGATTATTCATTTACAGTATACATGAATTTTTTCCCATGGGATAATTTTGTAATTATCCATATTTTATTCTTTTATAAAGCTTGAATTTCTTCCTTAATTCTTTGTTTTAATGCTGGGATTTTTAGAGCCTCTTGAATAGAGTTGGGAATCTGCACAGTATTAATGTTTGTCATAAAATTTCTATAAGATGGTAACAACTTCCCATAAACTATATCTTTTAATTGAATGACCATTGCACCCTCAGATATCTTTTTTTGTGTGCAATTGATTAATTAAAATAATCAACCAATGATACAAGATGATTATGAGATGAGAAATCTATAACATTATGATTATCAGATGGAGGACTTGATTTTGGCTTTTAATAGTCCCTTGTCTACATAATGTCTTTTACATGCACAGTGGTTTTTTTCTGGTGTCGATATGAAATTTCTGATCATTGGTATCATGTTGAGGTGGAGTAGAAACAATTAGGACAATTTTTGTAACAGAGTTTTGTTTTTAAAGCGAAGCTGGCTAAGTCTTTAGGCTTGGTTTAGTTGAAGGAAAATTGGCCTCACTCTTGGAAAAATTCCAAAATCTTATATTCGTTTGAGTTCTCCTAAAGATTTGGGAAAATAATACTAGTTCTCAAAGAGTTTGATGTCCATGGAATTGTAAATTTTCCTAATAAGTGAAGAAAAAATTTATATCATTTTTGATTGGAGTAACTGAGAAATTTACTTGTGATCAAGTTTGGTGTGGTGTTATTAATGGATATAAAAAGGGCAAAACATTAAAAATTCTTTAATGGTGAGTCAAAAGAGAGTGGATATATGTATAGGATTTCATGAAAATATTAGAAGAGATGTGAGAATGACTTCCCCCAAAAATGTTTAGACACATGAGTCTATTTTTCCTCTCAGTGACTCATTTTGTTTATTATCTACAAAATAAATTATGAATAATATCATGTTTGGAAAGATAATGACTAATAATGAAATTAAAATATTCCTTAGCAATATCTGTTTTAAGAATTTGAATTTTAATTTGATACTGAATGAAGATCATATAATAAAATGATTGAAATATTGTGGTTGTTTCAATTTTTTTTTTTTTAAAGAAATTTGTTTTTCATTTTATATGATCACCTTTACAACAACAATAAGCTTTTATCTCACTAAGTGGGGTCAACTACATAACCATTTTTCTCCGTTGCGTCCTATTGAATGTCATATTTTTAATTTAAATCTAATAAGTTAAGATCATTTATTTTTAAAATCTGGTAATTATCTTTATTTCAGAATGTAAGTTTGATTTCATGTATGCCCTAGTTCAACAATTGATTCTTCATATTGTTAGACAGGAAATATATACATGATAGGAAAAATATATATGATAAATAATTACACATTAGAGTAAGTATGCTTGTTAAATATAGTTGCATAACAGTTTAGTTTAGGAATATATCAAATCGTTGCTTGACTCTAGTAGAGATATACATGTTAACTTATTGCATGATCACTTATATGTCACATTATTGCTTAACCTCTAAAATTTTAGTAAATGTGCAAATTTGAGTTTATTTCATGACTTGTAGATACAGTATGATTGCATTTATTCATTAGTAGAAAGAGGTAGAATCTTTCATAAAAAAAGAATGTATGATATGAAAGAATGATGTGATGTAAATAGAAATGCTTGTATGTGCGTGCTATGAGGAGTTCCCCCTTATGGTATAGGCAGGAGATGCCAATAAAGCCACTTGTGTAGTTTTTTTTCTACTACCTTATACAATTGTGATGCAATCATTATTTGTGTTGACAGGATAATATCAATCATAAGCGAGTAAACAAGTTTACCATCATATAATTGTGATATTTAGATCGTTAGTTGTTGCAGCAATGAGATAATATTGGCAAGATGTTGGTAAGGGTCTTTCAATTTCAGACAGTTGTGTTGTTTAGATCGCTAATCGATGTGACCATGAGTGTGTTAGATTTTTTTTACGTTGATTCTGAAACAGACATATGTGTATGTTAAAAATATAAAGTAAAAGTAAATTTAAGATAAAACATTGAAGAGTACAGTTAAATTAAATGCATATAAAAGTTTTAGTTTATTCTCACTATGTAAATGTCATGTGCACGTACATTAGATTATTATAAGATCTTGTATAGTAATAAATGAAATATCAATGTACATATTATTTTCTCTTCTTTGGATAAATATATTTTAGAAGTATGATTGCTCCTAGTTATTTTTAGATAATTCATCATGTTATTTTGACATTTTTTCTGGTTTTAAACTTTTAAATAAGATAAGTAGAAGATGAGTTAATGAATACTGGAGGAGAGAACAACATGAAAGATAACTTTTTTATTTTGTTGATGTAATTGAATTCTTTAGTGGCTTTTCCATTTAAATTTGTGGATAATATCTGTTAGTGATAGAAATAAAATAATATAAAACTTAATTTTTCACTACCCGACATTCCATTCCCATCTTGTTTAATTCCAAGTATTGGGTTGAGTCGTGGCAAAAGTGACATCAGAGCATGATTTAGCTTTACCAACATGATTCTTAATGAAAGAGTCAATAAAATGATTGAATTTAGTTATAAATAAGAAAAAATAAAATTTTTAATGAGTACAATTAAATTATATTGTTGTTATTTTTGAAATAGGGATGATCAGGAGGAAGAGGCTAGGGAAGATAATGTTGAACTTTATATACCCTAGAATGTTACAGTTAATGTTGATGCTTTTGCTACGATTATTCAGATGATTAAGAACTCTTAACCTCAAGTCAATAGTAGTGGAGGAGCATTGATGGATGTGTACTTGAAGCTCATTCAGAATATGAGACCACTATTGTTTGAAAAATGGCTTTTGCTGTAAAAATAGCTGGCATGAATGCTGCTATATTCTCAAACAACGAGACTTGCTAGGGGAGAGAAGCACCGTATGATGTGGGGCTAGGCTATACCAGTCGTTCCAACATGAGGGTGTCGGTCCAGCAGAGAGGCTGGACCACCACTCTTCTAATGGGCCTAGAGTTACCACCCCTTTTTCCCCCTTATTTCTTATTCAATTCCCTTCCGTAGAGGGAATTCCCTTCCTAATTTCTTCCTTTCCTTTTCTAGCTCCTTCCTTTTCCATCTCTTTCCTTTTCAATTATTGTTTTATCACTCTCACCTATTATACATAGGCTGCCTTGCTTGCTTAGATGTTGGTACTTGATTTGTTTCTGATTGTAGAGTTCTGCCTCCGGTGTTTCTCCCTTCCGAGAGTTGTATTGACGACGAGAATGTGCTTTGGCTGTAGGCCATCCGAGGAGGTGACTATACCCGTTGTTGCTCTGCATTCCTG